AGAAAGAAAGAAAGAAAGAAAGAAAGAAAGAAAGAAAGAAAGAAAGAAAGAAAGAAAGAGGCTTTTCTGGGGTCTCACAAAAGCTTCCCAGCCATGACCCACTCTTATTCTAAAGACCCTACTTCTCACACTGTCACATTTTATGTCATGATATCAGCCCACACCCTTTGAGAGGAGGCAAATATTTGACCCATTGCAGAAGAACTCATTGGGGTATTGGTTATGCTTTGATATCTAATCTAATTTTAATTTCTATTATTTATCTCAGTAGAAGGTTCAAGTATCTGTGTAAGAAAGAACTTTGATCTCATCAGAAACTGTTTCTTGAATGGAGCTTGTACAGATGTGTTGCCTAATGTTCTGGTTTCAGTAATAGCAGAAATCGTGGTCTGTTCATTTCTTGATTTACATATACCTTTGACAGGAGTTGGAAGCCATGGCTTAAATATAATCTCATTGTGTGTGTGTGTGTGTGTGTGTGTGTGTGTGTGTGTGTGTATTTATGTATACAATTTGGCTTATAACTGAGAAGAAAATGGTTAAATATTCTTTGCCTAGGCTCCTATGTAAAATGAAGTAGCAGCTCTGACATCTAAAATTATGTAGCTCTGGATCTAGTTTTGAGGAGGGCTTACTTGATTCTCATCATTTTACTCAGTGGTTCTTAACCTTCCTAATGGCATGACCCCTCATGTTGTGGTGACTCTCAACCATAAAATTACCTTGTTGCTACTTAATAAATGTAATTTTGGGACTGTTATGAATCAAAAAGGAAATATCTCATATGGAGAATATCTGATATGCAACCCCCAGGTAGCTGTGACCCCCACAGGCTGAGAACTGCTTATTATACCAGAGCCTTAGTTTTTTTCCTTTTTAAGGGGAAGAACAAAAAGAAAGTTTTGGCTTTTGTAACCATCCCTGGGGGGGGACTTTTGTACAAAGTAAGTTCTAGGCTTGGCAATAATTACCTCTGAAATAGCTATCATAGCTTGGCAGGTACTGAGCAGAGAAAAACAGCTGGACAAAAGAAGCAAAAGTTTGGGAGTGACTGGAGCATACACACTGCTTAGCAAATACTTGCAGAAAAGTATCAGACAAATGTGGTAACTGTCTCTAAACTTTCCTTAAGTTAGATGCAGTGATGCTTGGTTTAAGGGGTGCATATTTCCATGATTACCCACTGAAATACAATGAATGATGTGTTCATTCAGAGAGTGAGATTCCAAGAATGTTTCGCAACTTGAAGTTTTGGTTCTTAGATGTCAAACAAGTTCTGAATCCACATATAACTGTGACTCTGCAAAATGCAGCCGTCTCTGCGGTGGCCCGGGCACCACTCCTTGTGTTATGTAACAGTTGTTGAGCAATGTGGGATTTAAATCGAAGGGTATTTGTGAAAGAGTAAACAAGCTTCCCAAGTGATAAATAAAGATAAAAATAGATAGATAAATGGATAAGATGAAATATGGATTGGAAGAACAGAAGTTTCGTGAAAATAATTCAAGTCAGAGGTGCAGGATACTCAAGGACCCATAAGACGCACTACCTGAGAATCTAGAGGTGTGATCTGTGCTCCAGACCTGACATGCCCCTATTTTTTTAAAAAATATAATCATTTTAAAAACACAGCCACTCATTCATTCATCTGTTGGCTATTATTCCATTTAATCAGCATACACAAAGTTGCAACAGAATTGATATGTCCCAGGAAAATGAAAACGTCTCCCGTCTGTTTCTTAAGAACATCCCTGCTAGGATGAGTAAAAGGTTAATGATAATTTTCATGTGTGTAACTACACACTGGGGGACCCCAAGCTGAGACTGAGCCTATGTGGGGATCATCTAATGGATATCAAGGTATGGCTGGAAAGGAGGAATAACAAACTGGGGTGCTTTGACTGAAATGAGATTTCAGCCTTATATTTTATGGTCTGTGATCATAAGCTGTGTTCTTTTCTGTGTTTACAAAATGAGAAGCTCAGAACAAGGTGGAAAGAGAAACAGAGTCCCCTAGTCCCTGTGCCTTCCCCTAGCTAAGCCCCCATGCAGGGGAGGTGGCGATTTCAGTACAAAGAAGTTATTGCTAGTTCTTAATAAGCACAACATCCAAAGAATGTAATCTTGTTCCTTCCATATCTTGTGCTGGAGCTTCAACACAGAGAAACACTGTATTCAAAATGAAAATGCTGCAGTTGAAAATTGTCCTTCATAAAGTTCCCAGCTCAAAACATTCAGAATTTAATCCCTTAGGGAATGTTATTTACAGTCTTTCTTTTTACACTGCCTAGACTCTAGGCCCTAGACTCTAGTGGAAATCATTGGTTCTCAACCCTCCCTATTCTGTGGTGACCCTTTAATATAGTTCCTCATGTTAAGGTGACATCCAACCATGAAATTATTTCATTGCTACTTCATCACTGTAATTTTGCTAATGTTAAGAATCATAATGTAAATATCTGATATGCAAGGGAGTTGCAACCCACAGGTTGAGACTGCCGTTCTAGAGTAATGATTGACAAGCGAAGAACCCTCCAAAAATCCGACATTACTTTCGCTTTAAAAGAGTTTCCACACATGACCTTGGCATAATGCTCTTGATGGGTCTGTGAGTGACCGCGAACCCTGACTGAAAAGTCCTGCACAATTTTCTGTTGCCACTGAAAAGACAAAGACAATTTGGGGATTCAATTTGACCCTTAGTCTGCTTACTCAGACTGGAAATAAATCTGACTGGTTGAATTTTTAAAAGGTGACCAAAACCAGAGTCTAGAGAAGGGGCCTTTCTCCCCATCAGCAACCTGCCCGAAGGCACACATGTGTATTCTGGAGGTTTTGACTGGAAGATTCATGGTCTTCTACCCCTGGCTCCTACTGAGGACAAAAGCTTTTTCTTTTTCATTTCACAGATTCCCTGTTTCCCAGTCTATCAGAGAAGGGAAAGTTACATGGTAATATAAAAAGTTTTGAAAAGCACAGAAAATTATAACTGGTTTTGAGTGTCCAGAGCAGCTGCACACACAGCCTTAGCACAGGTTTGATTTGGTAAATTAATTCATCTGTAAATAGTGAACAGTCTCCAGATGGGACTTCAGGGCTGAGGTGCAGGTTCCTTAAGGATTCACATTTAAAGGCAAAGGCTCCCAGCCCTAGGTGTTACAGGGGAATACTGCCCTTTCTGCCCTGCCCTGACTCTGCCCATCCAATCATATCCCAATATGCAAATGACCCTTAGTGCAAGCAAATAAAAGGAGCAAGTGCTCTATCAGAACCAAACTGCTGAGCCTGTGTCACTTGTGTTCCAGGACCCAAACCAGCCATGTCCTCCCCTGCACAGCCTCAAGTCCCTGCCCCTCTGGCCAACTTGAAGATTCAACATACCAAGGTAAGTCACTTGTAAGCAGGGCTTTCCCTGGGGACCTGGTTAAAGCACAGGCTGATTGAGCCTCTGGAAGAGCTCTTTGCAAACAGGAAGACAAAACTCTTGCAAAGCTAGTGGCCCGATTCAGGGGTGAATTCTAAACCATACCAGAAAACTTCTCATAAGTTTGTCTCTTGACATATGTCCAAGGGAGAGGGATTTGACTCTGTATGAAAGGTTCTTGTGCCAGAGTGCAGTGATCCACAGTGAGCTGTACTAATTATTCTGTGCAGTGGGAATTTAGGGCAAGGGAGACAAACAGAGGAACTTCCTGGAAGGAGCCAGGCATGTGGAAAACGGTCTCTCGCTGTCTTTCTGTCTCTGTCTCTTTCTCTGTCTTTCTGTATCTCTGTCTCTCTGTGTCTGTGTGTGTGTCTCTCTCTCACTTTTTCATGAAGTAACATTGAACCATAATTATATGACCGTATTTTTGATGGCATGGTGTTAGGGTTGGAGGACTTAACTCTGAACATTTGAATAGAGGCTGTTGGCCAAACTCTCAGACTAGAGGTATTTTTCTTATTTCAAGATATAAACTGTGCTTGTTTATTTCTCCAGGCAAAGTTGTTGTTGTTGGAGAACACATTTCACCATTATCTGATAAATATTTATTGTCATAAGAGCAGGAGCCTGACCCAGGTTTCTAAATCTGCAGCCAGGGAGAGCAAATGATCAGGCTGAGGCTGTCCTGGGGGACTGTCTTGATTTTACCTACCTTTTTGTTACATGCCTACTTTTGTCAGAGATCCTAGGATTCCAAACTTAAGACATAAGTAGCACACATGCCCCTGTGCACATTCTTAGGACAGTCACTTAAAATTAGCTATGTTATGATATAGTGCAGAAAACAACGTATGAAACTAACTGGACAACTTTGGAGGCAACCATGTTGACTTCTGAATTAAAGGATGAAAACCGAGAGTATTAAAGTTAATGAGAAGAGCCTGATGCCCTCTCTCATGTATTTCTTTTTGCTTTGAACAACTGTAGGTGGCTTTGAATCACTGACGTCTTTTGCATTTTCCTGAGCACCTGAAGTGAGTTAGCTGTCTGGCTTATGGGCTCTTTCCTTGGGACAGAGTCTACAGAAAGGAATAAGCATTGGCCATGGCCAACAAGCAGCTAGAAGTGCCTGCGGCATGCCATCACCAGGTTTTACCGGAGGGGAAATGCTTTTCAATTTAGGCATTGACAGATGAGAATACGTAAACTCTGGTTTGTCCACACTTTACAACAGCTCAAAGTTGTCACACCACCGACACCAACCTCCTTCCTTCTGTCTTTCTAATTTGAAAGAAATTCATGTAAAAATGTCTACATTCAAAGGGTTTCCAGATGATTGGAACTGTCAACACTGCTTATACTTGCATTTTAATCAGAAAGAATAGTTTGATTTGTATGAGTTTTTTTTTTTTTGTGCCAGTATGCTTCTCCCTTTTAGTTAATTTTTCATTTATGAATTTTCCTGAGACTTTGTGTGAATGTGAGTGTATGCATATATCTTAAGAGACATTTTAAAGTGAAACATCTTTCCTCCAAATTGTTTTATTTAGCACTTATTAATGAAGAACAAAGTAAAAGTACTAGAAATATTAGGTATTCCTTAAAGTCCCATGTGCAAGCACAAGACCAGTAATCCCTTAATAAAGATAGATGTTTTCAGATTGAAACCTCTTCTCTGCAAAGACATTGGATAAGGATATACTAGGGAGGGTGACGGATTGAAGTATTTAAGAGCCAAACAATGCATTTGTTTGGTGTTCAGGTACTTCACTAGTTAATAATAAGCAATGCCACTCACTGAATTTTGATTTTCTGTGTGTCTTCTATATCAATCCTCTCTATTTAGGAAGCATCATGTCATTTGATGCGCTGGTTACAGCATTTTTACACTTGGGAGGACAGCAGTTGTGTATATAATTAAATCTTAATGGAGAGCTTTCTGAATGCCTGTGGACGTTCCTTTTACTGTGCCCCACTGGAGAATTATAGTAGATTTTCACTCTTAAAAGTGGTTGAAACAATAGCTCTTAACTAGCTCCTGGTTGCAAAGTACGAAGGGCAGGAGTTCAAAATATTTGTGAAATTGCTTTGCCTGTGTGTCTCAATTTCTGTATTATTTTTTTCTTATTGTATTACTTTTCTTCTTTATTATAGCAAGGAACATATTGATATTGAAAGCAGGGCCATTCGGGTCATCTCTTGGGGTTCTCAGTCTCATTAATGGAATACTTTAAGAATAAAATAAAATGAAATTGATTGCACTTAGAAGGAAGACCCCAGGGAAGGCCAGCTCTAGAACCTCAGCAGCTGCCCAGGGGAGGAGAATGGGGGTGTAGGGAGCCACACATGACATTCAAGCTGACATGGAATTAGAACACATGGCCAACATGGAGCCACGTGGAAGGCAGGGAAGTTTTTAAGGAAGGAATTACAAAGTCCAAAATGTTGGGAGGAAAGACCAAACTGTTAAGAAACGCATGTTCAGAAAAAGAGATAGAAAGAAGATAAGGGAAAGTTATTCTTTTCTGAGTAATTCAGAAAAGTGATCAAACTTACCACCCTACAACCCTGGTTCAAACTTCTGTGTTAGGGGTGGGGTCTCACTGAAGGAAGAATCCACTTATTTCTTTAGTTTGGCTTAAGGTAAGCCCAGCTTCCTAGGGGTGGTCCTTTGTCAAAGAGACAGAACCAGTCCAACTGTGATGTCAAGTCTCCACTCAAACTGGAGAGTCTGTTCTCTCCACCAAAATTTGTTTTGTTTTGTTTTGTTTTTCTACTCTAACAGTGTCTGATGCACCAGAAAAGGAACAAACAAGCAGATTGATAACAGAAAGATAGAGAAAAACAATGATAGTCAGAGAGTTGTTTAAACTTAACCTTCAGAGTGTTTTGTTTCCAAACAAACAAACAAACAAACAAACAAAAAAGCCATCTATGCATAATCTTTTTAGGACTAATTTTCTAGTTAATTTCTTCTTTGATGGGCTAGATGAAATGAAGGTTAGAGTTTAAAAACTATTTTTTTTTTTAAAGAAAATACAGGTATCTCAGTATCCAAGTGTGTTCCCTAGTAAAGAGAACAGGGACAATTTCTGACATGAACTCAATGGCTGACTCTTTGGACCCCCTCCCCCCAAGGGAGGAGCAGCTTTGCTAGGCTAAAGAGGTGGACATTGCAGCTAGTCCTGAAGATACCTGATAAGCTAGGGTCTGATGGAAGGGGAAGAGGACCTCCCCTATCAGTGGACTTGGAAAGGGGAAGGGAGGAGATGAGGGAGGGAGGGTGGGATTGGGAGGGAATGAAGGAGTGGGCTACAGCTGGGACACAAAGTTTATAAACTTTAACTAATATTAAAAAATAAAAATTTAATTAAAAATACTGAATAAGAAAGAAAAGACAGGTGTATAGATTCTAAGGGAAAAAGAGAGAGAGAAAAAAAAGAAAATACCAAAGTGATTGCATTTGAAGCCTCTATAACCTTCTAAGTCCAAGTGCATCCGTGACACCTCAGCCTCATCACCCTCGGGAGCTGTCTGGTGCCCTTCACTCCTGCCACTGAACTTTTGCATGAAGAGGCCCTTTGGATGTTACAGGGTCTCTTGTCACTCTTTCCCCTCTGCTTACTTCTGTTTTCTTATAACTGAGATGGGGTTGTGAGGAGCACCATTTCCTAAGGAGGTATAAGCCGCTAGCACATTTGATTGGTAAGATGCCTTTGAAGCAGGGCCTGGCTCATGGGAAATTTCCAAGGAATTCAGGGGTAAAGAATTTTGTCCCCTAGGATTTGGTAACTTCCATTTCCTTTTTCATTTTACATGCCTTAAATAATAGATGACTAGGAACTGTCTGTAACTCAAGTTCCAGGGCAGACAAGGCCCTCTGGCCTCCATGGGCACTTGCAATGCATGTGGTACAGAGAAACTCACACAAGCATAGGCATATGAATAAATAAAAATACACATATCTTTAAAGAATTTAGCTCATCAAGTGATAAAATACTTTCCATGTTCAAAATGATTCACTGGCTAATAACATTTTTGTGCACACAGGGAATAAATGGTTGTGTTTCTTTTAATTTTCTTTCTTTATTAAATTTATTTATTAACTTTTTATTTATTAGAATTTATTCACTTTGTAGCCCAGCTGTGGCCCTCTCCCTCACCTCCTCCCAATCCCACCCTCCATCCCTCTTCTCCACTCTTGCCCCTCCCCAGTCCACTGGAAGGGGAGATCCTTCTCCACCTCCATATGACCCTGGCCTATCAGGTCTCATCAGGACTGGCTGCACTGTCTTCATCTGTGGCCAATGAGGCTGCTACTCCCTCAGGGGGAGGTAACCAAAGAGCCTGCCACTGTTCCCCTCACTAGGGCACCCACTTGGAGTCTGAGCTGCCCTGGGCTACATCTGAGCAGGGGGTCTACATTATCTCCATGCATGCTCCTTGGTTGGAGTATTGGTCTCTGCAACAACCCCTGTGCTCAGATTTTTTGGTTCTGTTTCTCTCCTTGTGGAGCTCCTGTCCCCTCCAGGTCTTTCTGTCTCCCCCTGCTTTCGTAAGATTCCCTGTACTCTGCCCAAAGTGTATGGCTATGAGTCGCAGCATCTGCTTTGATATTCTGATGGGTAGAGTCTTTTAGAGGTCTTCTGTGGTAGGCTCCTGTCCTGTTCTCTGTTTTCTCTTGCTTCTGATGTCTATCCCATTTGCCTTCCCGAATGAAAATTGAGCGACTCCCCTAGGGTCCTCCTTCTTGCTTAGCTTCTTTAGGTGTACAGATTTTAGTATGTTTTCCTACATTTTATGTCTAATATCCACTTGCAAGTGAGTATACCCTAGGCATATATCCAACATATGCTCAAGTATACAACAAAGACATTTTCTCAACAATGTTCGTAGCAGCTTTATTTGTAATAGCCAGAATCTGGAAACAACCCAGATGTCCCTCAGCTGAGGAATAGATACAGAAATTGTGGTACATTTACACAATGGAATACTACTTAGCCATTAAAAACGAGGAAATCATGAAATTTGCAAGCTAATGGACAGAACTAGAAAAGATGATCCTGAGTGAGGTAACCCAGAAGCAGAAAGACACACATGGTGTCTTTGAACTTTCTTACAGGGGCGTTATTATATGGCTAAGGTTTCTTTTATACAGACAGAGTTGAGTCAAATGCATATGAAATAGTTTTAACGAAACCCAAGTGTGAGGTGCAGATACTGAAATTCACTCTTTCAAATGATCTAAAGAGGTGCCTCTCCTAATAGGTACTATGTCCTAGTGACACAACTGAATTCACAATTGTCTAACCTCTGTGATTCTTTTGATGTTAAATGTCACAAACATGAGCATTTTTGAGACAGAAAAAGACACACATTTAGGCAACATTTAATACCTCAATTCTAGCTTATAAAACTCTCAAACCTACTCTATATTTAAATGCTTTTTATATATCTTTGCTGCATCACCACAGATCTTCATAAACAACGAATGGCATGCCTCAGTGAGTGGCAAGACATTTCCTGTCCTCAACCCTGCAACTGAGGAGGTCATCTGCCATGTGGAAGAAGGGGACAAGGTAAGATTTTTAACCAACACAGGTCTGTTTTACGACAGGAGTCTTTGTTTCTCACCATTCTGAGCTCAAAACCCACTGCAAGTTTAATGAAAATATGATTGCACAAGCAATTGTGTAAATGATCTGTTGTCCTTGTCACAAGAAATTGTCATATATACATCTGGTAGATAATAATATTCATAATACACAGGAATTTAGAGAAACTAAAATCAAAAGAAAAAAAACCCACTTACTCACGTTACAGATCTGATGTTAGCATTTCTAATATAATCTGGGAACTGAGAATAGAAGGGTGGCATCCAAAACCTCAGTAATCTGAGGCTACGGTAGCATAATGAAGCATGAACTATTAAATAACTTATCTTTTCTCTTTAGGATTAACATTAGCATTTAATATGGGGCATCGAGTTTTAAAATAGTAATATACTTACGGTGTATGAACTGAGCCTGTCAGCTGTTCCTGCCTTCTCCATGTAAATAAAAATGACACTTAAGAAGACTATGAATCTGTATGAACCAGTTAACAAAAAGTCAGTCTTGATGCTAAAAAATTGAAACCTTTGGACTTCAAGGAGATAAAATAGAACTCCTACACAGATATAGCCCATGGCAGCTCAGTCTTCAAGTGAGTTCCCTAGTAAGGAGAATAGGGACTGTCTCTGAAGTGAACTCAGTGGCTGGCTTTTTGATCACCATCACCTGAGGGGAGGCAGCCTTGCCAAGCCACAGAAGAAGACAATGCAGCCAGTCCTGATGAGACTTGATAGGCTAGGGTCATATGGAGGTGGAGAAGGATCTCCCCTTCCAGTGGACTGGGTAAGGGGCATGGGAGGAGAAAAGGGATAGAGGGTAGGATTGGAAGGGAGTGAGGGAGGGGGCTACAGCTGGGATACAAAGTGAATAAATTGTAATGAAAAATAAAAATTTGAAGCCTTGAATACTTAGCTCCTAGGGGACATCTTGCTTTGAGAATGGGATTGTGCTCAACAGGAAAATGAAGTTCTCTGCCTGGGTTCAATAGAAACCTCATGAGGTAGGTTGACTTTGCTAGGCAGTCAGTGATGTTTACCTTCATCCTAAAGTGCAGAAGGGAAAGCTGGTGACCACCTCAGCAAACTTACCAATGAGCACTGATCTGCTCTGTGCTGAGTGACAACCGCCCTCCCATAGAAGTGATCAAAGAGACTAATTTATAGCCAGCCAAGCTTTAAGTCAGGCCACAGTGCCAGTCTGGTTGACTGATTGGCAGGACAAATGATTTCTCTAAGGAAATTATTAGAGATACAGTCTATGACAAGCAAGAGCTTGTTTTACCACCGTGTTCCTGTATCTGTATCCTTTTCTGGAATAATTAAACAAAAGAGGAACTTGTCTTCCTTCTTGGATCTTAAATGGCTCTTGGTTATAATCTGCCATTGAGATCAGTATCTGATGACTATTCATGTAGACTGTTACAGTGAGCCAGGTTTTGAATCTGTGTAAGATTTTGAAAGTATAGAGGCATGCTGATAGAACATTGTCTATTCAAGGAGAATTTCAGGAGCAAAGGTGCAAAGGGATGTCTGAGCTAAAGCAGGAGAAAGGTAAACAGGAAGTCTGCACAGGTGAAGTCAAGTCAGAATATGGTGGACCTTGAAAACCAGAGAGCTTTGCCCTTAGAATTGTGGATGAAGCCAGCAGTTGCAAACACGTAAGGGAACATGATGAGGTAAATTACATGAATATTAACCTGGAATACTTACAGAGATAATGGGAAGTGAAGAGAATGACTGGGGGCTCTTTACGGTACAATAGTAAAGGCCTACATAGTGGAGGACAGGAAAGATGAAAGGATATGCTGGGATGGACGAAGACGCTGTAATCATTTCCATGTTGGATTGTCCTCTAGGACCACACTTGGCTCCATCTTGTGATCATTTAACATGTCTGCCACATAGAAAATGTGAGGACAGAGACAGCTTTCCGAGATTTTAAAGATAATAAAAGATGCCACAAGCAAGTCGTGGCACAACATATTTCAGTTTAGAATAGAGTGGGCCTTCTGCAGCCATAGATTCTCCCTTGATGACTTCAAACTTGGGATATGAAATGTGTAACTGCTGACACAGTAGATGTGAAGGGATCTATCACAGCTGTGCACATACTGAGTGTGCAATTTTGGCCATTTTTCTCAAAACAGTACAGTTCATGTATTCTTTACGTAGCATTAGTATTCAGTATCAGAAGTGCAGTTATCAAAGGGATGTCTGTGGGTTATATGTAAATACCACATAAATTTAACATTCCTGGTTTTAGATTATTTTTCAGTGATTTGAAAACAGTTCTTCTGTGATACTAAGGGAGGTCTGTGTTTATGATTTCACAGTGTGGTGCCCAGTTGTATGTTTCTCTCCCACTGTCATATAGTTAGCGAACGGATAGGATGCCGTACAGTGGATGGATATTTGGATGCCTCAAAATCAAAAAGGAGAAATAAAAATCCATTTTTTTAATTAAAAATTTACTACCTTTAGTTTATTTCTAGCTCTGCAAGACTGAATATCTGGTTTGAGGAATGGAGAGCCATGGCCCAAATGACAAAACCAGAGGAACAAACTATTTATAACAGCTTTGTGTAGGCAGAGTTTTTGTTGGTTTGGTTTGGTTTGGTTTTTGTTTTTCTACATGTGTGGCTACGTGTCTCAAAGCCATTTTTCTCTCCACCTCTTGGAGAGATTAAGAGACTCAAGAGATCTCTTATTAAGCAAAAGCCAATGACAGGACACTGAGCAGAATTATCCACAGTCTTTGTCATACTGGCTTAAGCTGTACGGTTTAAAAAACACAATATTCTCATTCTCAAGGTGTATTTAAAAAATATGAAGAATACTGTCTTGTTGATCATTTGGATTTATAGGGCTCCATGATTTGGATTTGATTTATTTGGCTCCATAGATAAAAAGTTTTGGAATAGTCTTTACATATATGCTACATATAGTATTTACATACATGTTGACCTGATGAAGAATAAAACACATGCAATAGTAATGGAAGAAGCAACAGTGCTTTCAGCAGGTATACTCGAGGAGGTGAGAGGTGGTCTGAATAGGAATCCACAGGGAAGTAAAGTGATCATGAAAACGTTTGGAAGGGAGATGGCTTAGGAAATCTAAAGGCATAAACTAAAGGAAAAATGCGTTGGTGATAAAAGCACGAGTGAAAAAAAGAAAGCTCAAAGTGTGAATGTGGCTTTATTCTATTATTCCGTTTTGCTTGAATTAATGAGGTTAATGAGCAGCATATTATTAATAAAAGAAACTATCTTCTGAACTTAATTACAGACTAGAGTGGACCACATTGTACACAGTTGGGAAGTAAGGGCTTATAATGTAAAGAGCATAATGCTGAATATGTATAATTAAACTTCCAACACAGGCTCATAAACTTGTCAACCAAGTGGTAGCACAGTTTTGAGAGGTTGTGAAACATTACGGACATGAATGTCTAAGAGCCAGATGTAGCAACATAAGGCAGGGCATGTAGCTTACAACCAGTATCTTCATCTGGAGATCTCTTTTCGCTTTGTGTTTCAATTCCTCCAACTGTAAAATGAGGAACAGATTTGTCTCAGAGGATTTCTGAATAAAATGAATTAATGTGTGTAAATTAACTAGGTCATCATTTCAAATAAAAATGCACACTTGGTGTCTTATTACAATAGGATAAAGTAACAACTGTTTAAAACAAAGCATTTTTAATTAATTAATTCAATTTACATATTGGTCATAGGCCCCTCCTTCCTTTCCTCCCAGTTCCACCTTCCCTTCAGTATTCCCTCTTCCCTATTCTTCAGACACCCCAGCTCATGTATTACTATGTGGACTGAGTTTTTCTTCCTCCCCTGTGGCCTTTTAGGGAAGTCCAATTAGGGGGAAGTGATAAAAAAGCAGGCAACATAGTCTATGTCAGAGGTATCCCCACTCAAGCTACTGAGCCAACTTGAAGCATAAGATGTTCATCAGACTCATCTTCTTAGGGTCTGGGCACTGTAGCATGTCTATCTTGCACTGCATGACTAAAAGCCGCTTATTAGCGTGTATATATTATGTACGTCTTTCTGGGTTTGTGTTACTTCACTCAGGATGAGCTTTTTTAGTTCCATCCATTTGCCTGTAAATTTCATGATTTCCTTGTTTTTAATAGCTGAGTAGTATTCCATTGTGTAAATATATCACTGTTTCTTTATCCATTTTTTGGCTGAGGGACATCTGGGTTCTTTCCAGTTTCTAGCTTTTACAAATAAAGCTGCTATGAACATAGTTGAGCATGTCCTTGTTGTTATGGGAAACATCTTTAGGGTGTATGCCCAGGAGTGGTATTTCTGGGTCTTGAGATATGGCTATTTCCAGTTTTCTGAGATATTGCCAGATTGATTTTCAAAGTGGTTATACAAGCTTGCACTCACACCAGCAATGGAGAAGCATTCCCCTTTCTTCACATCCTCACCAGCACAAGTTTTCTCTTGAGTTTTTTATCTTTTATCTGACAGGTGTAAAATGGAATCCCAGAGTCATTTTAATTTACATTTCCCTGATGACTAAAGATATTGAACATTTCTGAAAGTGCTTCTCTACCATTGAAACCAAAAAGCTTCTGTAAAGTAAAGGACACTATCAGTAGAACAAAATGGCTGGCTACAGATTGGGAAAAATCTTCACCAATCCTACATCTGAAAAGGGTTAATATCCAGAATATATAAAGAACTCAAGAAATTAAACATCAACAAACCAAATAATCCAATTAAAAATAAGATACAAAGCTAAACAGAGAATTCTCAACAGAGGACTCATGAATGCTTGTAAAATAGCATTTTTTCTTTTTAATTTTTTTTATTAATTACAGTTTTTTCACTTTAAATCCCAGATGCAGCTCCCTCCTCCATCCCTCTCAACCCCATCCTCCTTTCCTCTTCTTCTCCTATGCCCCTCCCCCGGTCCAATGATAGGGGAGGTCCTCCTCCCCCCCTTCCGTCTAACCATAGTCTATCAGGTCTCATCAGGACTGACTTCTTTGTCTTCCTCTGTGGACTGGTGAGGCTGCTCTCCTCTCAGGTGGAGGTGATCAAAGAAGCAGCACATGATTTTATGTCAGAGATGGTCCCTGATCTTATTATTGGGGAACCCTCTTGGATACTGAGCTGCCTTGGGCTACTTCTGTGCAGGGGTTCTAGGTTATCTCCATTCGTGGTCCTTGTTTGGAGTATCAGTATCAGAAAAGACCCCTGTGCCCAGGTATTTTGGTTCTGTTGCTCCCCTTGTGGAGCTCCTGTTCACTCCAGTTCTTTCTATCTCCCACTTCTTTCATACGATTCCCTGCCCTCTGCCCATATTCTAGGAGGTTAACTATTTGATAATAATATGGAGCTTATTCTAAAAATTGTTCAAGAGAAACCATTCCAATATACTGTCGTGTAGTGTGTGAAATCCTCTAGGTTTCGGGCTAATGGAGACCTAATTTCTGTTTCTGAGGACTATGTTCTAGTTGATGGAACTGTGATGTTGTGCTTGTCCATGTAGAATTTCGAACATAATGAATTGAATTTATTGATTTCCAGGCAGATGTTGACAAAGCCGTGAAGGCTGCACGACAGGCCTTCCAGATTGGCTCCCCATGGCGCACTATGGACGCTTCAGAGAGGGGGTGCCTGCTGAACAAGCTGGCTGACTTAATGGAAAGAGATCGGCTACTGCTGGCTGTGAGTATTAACCCGTGGGAATCATGGGAATGCTCCCACGAGCGCTGCTCCCACTGGCCCGTCCTCCTGCTTTTCTCTAGAACCTTTCAGGGTCCAGAACCCAGTTTTACTCTACTCATTAAAGCTCTTGTATACTCTCAAGGGTTAGATAAGGCAGTACAGAATATGGATGGTGAGAATATTTTTCCAGTCTTTTTCGCTTTGAATTTTAGTAAAGCCAGTTGAAAGCAAAGTTAAAATTCAGAATAAATTTCATTTGCTTTAGTGACAACAAACCTTCATTTTATTAAAAATATCAGCAAGTCAGCAGTTGCTAAAAATCATTTTTTTAAGGATTCTCTGCACTGTTCAAAACATGCAACAACAAGAATTCATAGCTCCGTAATAGATGTAAACAACTGAAATGTTCTGCTGGAAGAAACTGGCATTTCCCGAAGCTTTGCTCTTTTCACTCTCTGAATTGTAGTGAGAAGTGTTAACTTCCTCCGTCAGCATGGGAGCCATAGGGAGGGGACAGACGTATAAAGCCACATTTGATTTAGTTTTAGGGCAGCGCACAATATCAAACCTGTGCATCTTGCCCTGCAACTGACGGTCAGTGAAATGTATGATATCAAAGCATCCTCTATAGTATGCAAAAGGGGGGGGGGAGGCGGAGGGAAAAGAAGACACCGATAGATCATGACATGCTAGACTCCTGTCTGTAAACGTAGCAGAGTATTGTTAATAGTGTCCGGGGTTGGCTCTCTCCCATAGTTGAAGACTCTACGATGGCACATCCCTGATAAAAGATGCAGTGATTACAGTTGTGTGAACAGACTGCTTATAGATGAGACGAATATGATTTTGATTGTGGCATTGTAAAGAGTTGCCAACACTGAATGGTTGCGATAGTCAGATATCAAGTGCAGTTAGAGCTCTGGTAGGCCAAGGAGACTAAGAATCATTTTAACAGCTATGTGCTTAGGAGACCAGTTTGTAGACATTGCTTAGCCAGAAGATGCCTAGAATCTGGCAGAAAGAGCACCAGTGTCAGGGAATCAGAATCTTACCATCTCTCCTGGGATCTTGGTATGTGACTACAAACAAGTCATTTGATTCTTTCTTAAGTTGCTCTTAAAGAAGCATTAGGTTTAAGATTCTTTATATTTCCAAATCTTTCTAGTACATAAGCACAAAGAACATTCACTGTACATTCTTGATATAATTTTTATTGTTGAAAGTTTGCATTTTGATGTCATTCTTTTTTCCCCAGACAATGGAGTCAATGAATGCTGGGAAAATCTTTGCTGATGCATACCTACTGGATGTAGATGTCAGCATAAAAGCATTAAAGTACTATGCAGGCTGGGCTGACAAGATCCATGGCCAAACAATTCCAAGCGGTAAGTACATTTAAGAAACTACACGTTGGTTAAGGAAAGTCCATTATTGCAGAACTGAATACCTTCAAATTCTCCCAGATAACAGTGTCATTCAATTAGGTAAATGGTTACTTTTCTCATCTTTTTGATCCAGCGCAGTTCTGATGCTGGAGTTCTGTTAAGAGTCAACATGTGATTAGTTTAGACACTACTAAAGTAAGGACATTATCATAGATGCAACTACTAATTTGAGTGAGATGTCTGAATGTCCAATCTTTTCAAAATTGGCTGCTGAAATTATTTGAGCTTCACTCCCATAATGACATTTATATTTTTAAAACCTGGTAACTCTCGGGTGCTCTTGTCTGAAACTGCTTCTATTTTGCTGTGAGGCTTTGAGCTGCTAGGCTCCCTATTTCATTTCCCATGGCAAGAAATTGTCTTGGATATTTCTCTTGGACCTTCACTCATGGCTCCAATGATATCCCTTCCCACAACATCTGAAAATCTGGGAAGTCTAGGCATTCTTTTCAAAATCCCGTTGCTGCTAGAAACTACTTGTTCACTTCTCTCGTGGAATATTCCACATTTCTCATGGTTAACACGCCAGGCATTTTGAGATCTGAGGCCTTTAGTGGCTTGGTCACAATTTCCTTGTACATGACCACATTTTTTTTTCTTGCAATTGATGTATTGAGAAGTTTTATATCCAAGACCTTTAGCATTAACTTGTTCTATGATAGTCACACAATACTCCTGAGAACCAATATTGGTCATGTCTCTTGTCCACTCATTCATTAGTGCTGCTCACACCCTTAATGGTCTAATAACTTTTACAATCGGTATTCACATTCTCAAGGGTAAATACCTCTATAAACATTGGTCTCTCATAAGCGTCTGAAATAGCTTTGGCCACATCTGACAACAATCTTTGCAAGAAATCTGTGACGGTCCCTAGAGCCTTGTACAATCTTAATAAATGAGGCAGTCTTTTTCCTGGTCTTCTCAACTTTATCCCAAGCTCTTAAAGCCACTATGCAACATTGTTCTATACACAGCATTATCAAATTGAATCTGTTCTTGTAAATTAGAGTACTGTTCTTAACCAAGCAACTCATCTTTGAAAATATTCATTCCCCTTGTTCTGTTTTGATGTTCAATATTTGCAGCTTTCTCCCTCCACCACATTAACCATTGCTGGCTGGCTTGTAGCACAGCTGTTACCAGCCCATTCTAAACTTGAGGATAATTCTATTTTGGGTAGCTCAGTTACTTAATATTTGTTTTATATAAGGTGAGTGCATTTCATATGAAATCATTGCCTCCTTGAAACTCCTCAGATCTATTATTTATATAGGACTTCAGGCTATCCCATCAGAATCACAGTCTACAGTGTTAGCAGGCATATGCTATACAATTATTGGGAAAACCAATGAGGATTTTGTAATCCAAGGCCACCCCACCCCCTCCAGCAGCACAGTTGTCTCAAGGTTAACCCTTTCTTTTGAAATGGGTTGTTTTTCTTCAACTCTGTCATCCTACATAGCCTCCTTCTCCTCCCGGCTACACACCCAGCTACCCACCCAGTCCAGGGGATGCAAGAACTTGAACTGAAAGTGTGTAGCTCTGGGCAGGACGTTGATATGCTTTCTAGCCTGGTTTGCTTCCCTCTTTCACCCTGCAGGAAAGCTTCCGTTCTTTTGTTCAGTCATCAGGTATGGTCCCTTTTGTTTTTCCTTTTCCAGTGCTATTCAGTTCCTAAGTGCTTCTACCTCTACCTAGACTCTTTCCAGCTGCACAGCTTTAAAAAAATGAGAGAATAGAGTGACCCTTTTGTTTTTCCCATTTCACCCATTTTTTGTTTCTCAGGTTCCTCCTTTCTACTCAGAAGTTTTTCCAATTGCTCAGCCATTCTTCCAATCTTTTTTGAGAATGAATATAGAAGAAAAAGAAAAAAACAGAAAACCCCTCTGGGAGCAAAGAGCAAGTTTTTTTTTTTTTGGAGGGTGTTACAGTAGCTGCCACAGTAAAACTTTTTCTGAGGTCTTGAAGCAGAATATCCATCCGTTTGTCTCCTGCTGTTTCCTCCAAGGCATTTTAACCAGATTTCCCAATCTGCTTAACTCTACACCTGGGTACCACTGTAGCTGGACTTTTGGCCACTTGACTGGATTCTTCTTTCTACCATCTTACACCATCTCTATCCCTTCCAATCCACCAACACTAGGTGGTAGAGAAAAAAGGTTAGAGGGGAAAGAAGACATTAGACTACTTCCTGATGATTAAAGAAGTAACATTCCTTGGGCCAAATTTGATTTTCCTCTTTGCCAGGATATCTCCAACCAGCAACCAGCAAAGAGGAACAAACAGCAATCATACCTCTCTTGTGGCTCTGGAATTTAAATACCCTCTCCAGAATCCCCAGAATTCCAAACATAAGCTATCTTCAGCTGGGAAAATTACACGCCTGCGAGAGCATGAAACAAATCATAGTTAGCTGTTTTCGTATATCTGAAGCAGCCCCATATTCCACACGTGGAGTTAAAACAAAAGCATATTAACATAATATTTCTGACTTCTTAAAGAAACCAAAAATTCTCACTACAAGGAGTCATGGTGAGGGTCTAGTGTTGACAGTGCAGAACTCAGAGGCCTCAAATCATACTTGAACGCTTGCAAGTAAGCTTTTTGGACAAAGGTGCTTATTGTAACACACCAAAACTTCCATGGAGAATTTTCTAAAATTTATTTTAAAAATTTTCTTTTAGGAAGGGGGGTTAAAAGGGTGAAGGGCGGAAGAGAAGGACTAAGAAGTGAGTGGGGTTGGGGTGCATTAAGTGAAATTTAGGAAGAATCAATAAAAAATTAAAAGTAACAACCCCAAAAGAATCTTTGCATGGAAATGTTATATAAGTATTACTTTGTAAGGTATGAAAGCAGTAAAACAAACATATGGCGAACATTTCATGTGAAAAAAGAATAAGATTTGGGAAGCACTAAGGACAGTTTCTCATCTGAACCATAACGACTTTAGGAACTCAAGTAGTTAAATTCCAGTTCTGTGCCTGTTGTGCACTTCCAGCCTGAGTGGAAGATTTAGTGTGAGAGGTGGTTGGCAGAAAGTTAGAAGATAAGAGACTGCTGAGGTACCATGAACGGGGCTGGTCTGAGGTTCTTAATCTACTATTAGGAAAAAAAAAAAAAGAAGAAGAAGCTGTTTAAAGTACCTATAGGTCATGTAGGAAAAGTACTTTGGTAGCAATAGGCTCCTGTAGAAGCCAGAACAAAACACAGAACAACAAAACTCCCATGATAACCACATCAAAGAACAGCACAGGAGCTGGCCGAACACAGATGGAAAAGAACCATGTTTCACTACAGGAACATTTTTTTTTCCCATAGGCTAACATGCATTACATGTCTGTTTGAAAGGTAAAAGAAAACTAAACAATTTTAGTCAGTAGAAAAAAAAAAACAAAACCTGCTTTCTCTGGATACTTTGCTATTTTAAGTCATTTACCTTTTAAAAGTTTGTTCTGGAAAATTAAGATGCCGGGAACTCAGCCCTTACCCGGGGGAGATCTCACCTCCTGACTCCTTTCTGTTTCACTCTGTGAACAGGGTGATATAGAAGGCAGCCATCTTAGAATACAAGGAATGACATTGACTGCCCATCAGATCTTTCCCCATCTTGTCAACTAGTTTCACATACCTCAGTCTTTAGAATCAAATTACCGTTTGAGGGCTCGATTGTTTATGTTATTAACACTGTAGCTAGATCTTTTGTTTCCCTTTTGCTACTGGCTGTGCTGCTCCTTTCATATCAACCACACATCACCCTGCCATGCCTGCACAGCCAATTTGCCTTTAATGAGTGATATGTCTGCTCTGTTTTCCAGATGGAAACATTTTCACTTACACAAGACGTGAACCTATTGGGGTGTGTGGCCAAATCATCCCTGTAAGTTCTCCATCATGACTCTCAATGGAGGAAATAAAGATCTAATTCCAGTGATCTGGTGATGAATCCCATCTCCACACAAGTGAAGCTGATGTGATGCCTGTGTGTGAAGTAAACTCAACAAGCATGACTGCCTGAAGCTCACTGTCCTATAACTGAGCTTCTTGACTATGTGCTAGCTGGTCCAGAAACCCTTTGATGTATTGCTATAGCCTTTGAACCCTAAGTGTTGACTGCATGGGTCACTTTTGAAATCGTGCTATGCTCTGCTTCCATGAGCTATGCTTCATAAGTACATGACAAAGGTTTATAAGGGCTCATCTGTGCTGTGACTCCACTTCAGTGTGACACAGCAGGGCTTGTCACCCCAGCACTTCTCTTCTTGAGACTTCTGGAGGCTCTTTCTTGAGATTTTTCACCAGGCACAGTAGCAGCAGCAAGACTGTACAGATCCTAGAAATGTCTTTTGATTTAAGTGGAAGTAATCATCTCTGTGACAATAGGAAAAGTGCGTGGCCTGGGCATTGTACCTTTAGATAAGCAGGGTGGGGTACTCAAATTTTTTCTGTCAGAAAGTCATGTTCTGCATGGAACCAGATTTCCTCTAAATTAAACACACAAGACAATGGCCAGATATAGCTGACATAATTTAAAAGGCTAAATTACAACATAGGAAATGTCCTGAGGTTTTTGAAATGATAGTGATTCTTGTTTAATGAGACTGAATGTATCAGTGTATTTGATAGTTTTCATTACCTCAAAGGCTTAAAAACACTTAAACACTTCTATCTTACTCTGCCAGTGAGTAGCATTGAATAAGTCTAAACATTAATTTCCCCTGTTTTGTTCTGTTGTTATGGCGGTCTAAACCTGGTCCTCACATATGCTAGGCAGGAATGTAAAATGCTCCAGCCCTGAATGGATTTATGTTCTGAGGACATCCATGTAAAGTAGAGAGTTTGTTTTCATCACTCATTGGTGATAAATGCATAAGTAGAAAAGTAGTTGTATATCTGATTTCTCACAGCTGGCCAGTGGTTTTGCAAAGATCCAAATTCAAGCACTCACCCCCTGGATATGAACTTCCTTTGCTTTTAACAATATTGTTTATCCTGGGCTGAGCCTAGGTCACTGGTTTGGAAAACACATTCAACATGTTTAAAGCCCTGGGATCACTCTCTAGCGCAAATTCACACAAAATCTCCTGGTTATGATTTTTTTCTAAATTATATTATATAAAACACAACTAAGTGCTCTCTAGGGAGAAATAGGAAGAGTTTTTCACACTTTTAAAACACAAGTAACTTCTAATATACTTCACTATATTTGAAACCATGCAGTAGCATTTTTCTTATATTTCCTTCATTTAAGAATGAAAACCACAGGCCTTGATTACATTTGGTAACTCTTTCCTGTTCCCTTCTCCTATATGGTTGGTTTTGATACTTTACTAGTATCTTTAATACTTTACTAGTTTCTTTTATGAACTTAAGTAAAATAAACTAGATAATTATAACTTCTAAAGTATTGTTCAGCTGTGATCAGGATGGCAGGCATTATTAAGAAATGTGGTTTTGAGTGATGCAAAGAGTCCATTGTTCAATTTGATTTCTAGTGGAATGGTCCCTTGCTTATGTTCAGTTGGAAGATAGCACCTGCCCTTAGCTGTGGGAACACAGTGGTTGTCAAACCAGCAGAGCAAACTCCTCTCACTGCTCTTCATATGGCATCTTTGATAAAAGAGGTAAGTTCCACGGTCTACATACGCAGGCTAACTCAGGATTCCTCATAAGCCTCATTCACATGGACTGTGAGCTTCGCTGTTCATACATGGCTCCTGCCCAGTCATGCAGAAGACAAGAGCAGAGCTGTCGGCTGGGCCTTCTGTCAGCACAAATGCGTGTCCACACAAATCAGAGGCTTACAGGCAGTCACCTTGTAAACTATCACTTACGTTGTTCAAAACTTATGAACTTAAGTGCACAAGAAAATACCACCTTCCTTCAAATGCTGAAATGTTGATCTATATCTCCACCATCCAGCTTATGACTGGCCTGGTTGCTTCTGTAAACTTTCTTAAAGTTATTTTAGTTTAAATATCTCTAAAGGTTGGAGGCTACTACGCAATGTATTCCTAGTTTTACTGGTGGTGACAATAAACTCTAATTTTCTGTATAGGTAATTTAACATACACTCTTATATCCTACCAATTTGATTTCCTTTTATAAAATTTGACACAGCTAATCATTCGAGTGATGTTCAGTTGTAACAATTTTGTTGTCAACTTGATCCATCTAAGAAGAGCATACCTCAGTTGAGAAATGTCTTTATCAGATTGGCCTGTGGCCATGTTGGGGCATTTTCTTGACTGACTATTGTAGTAAAGCCCAGCCCACTGTGGACAGTACTATTTCCTAGGCTGGTGAGCTTTCCTAGGAAGCTGAGCTAGCTAGAGAAGTTAAGGCAGAGTGTACCATTTCTGCATGGCCTTTGCTTTATAAAGTTCCTAACTCCAGGTTCCTGCCTTGATTTCTCTCAATGATTGACTATAACCTATAAATCAAATAAAGGCTTTCCTTCACCATTTTGTTTTGGCCAATGTTTTATCATAGCAAATAAGGAGCAACTAATATGCCAGTAATGACAGACTTGTCCCTAGAACATATTGTCCCTCAGGATTATGACCTTTGGAGGAGGTATTTTCATATGGACGAGAAATTAAAAACACTAATGAATAAATAACAAATACACTTAGATGAGTTTTTTTGTTTTTGTTTTGTTTTGAAAAAATAAAAATAAAAAGAGCTCCCGAGGAGAGCATAATGAAACAGCCTGGGTCTTTCACTTAGGTCATTTATGAATTAAATTCTTGATATATTAACTGCTTAATTTTCAACTTGTAGGCAGGGTTTCCTCCTGGCGTGGTGAACATTGTCCCTGGTTATGGGCCAACTGCAGGGGCAGCCATTTCCTCTCACATGGACATCGACAAAGTGTCCTTCACAGGACCAACAGAGGTAGGACCAATTTCTGAATGTGTCATCTCTAAGATGCAGATGCATGCTCTCTGAAGCGCTTCTCAGCCAGCACATTCTTTTAAAATATTGCTTCAATGGTTTGTTACTTATTCTAGACTCCAAATATGTTTATGAAGCATAAGTGAATAAGTTTTGGATAAAAGAAAATACCTATTCAGGGAGACTATAGTAAATAATTTTTAGTATAATCCCTATCATCTCTTAGGAGAAATATAGACTTTGAGGCTGTCAGATGATTAGCACAGTTTACAATATAAAGTACAAATCACAAAATGGTGATTTGTATGAATCAATGCAATTACTGCCTCCAGATTGAGAAAATTAAATGGTAGCTCCTTTTATGGGACTGTCTACCCAACATACCCTGAGATAGAGACAAATTCTGCTTCCTTGTCCTACTGGCCAAGTCTCAGTTCTTAGTGTGCCTGGCTTCACCATGAAGAGAAACAAAGGTGAAGAACAGGAACTAGCCACAAACACAAGTCATAACAAGACTCAGCAAGGGGAGAGAATGGACTAGAAGTGGAGTAGAACATATAATTCTGGGGATTGCATGAGTTTCTCTTACAAACAAAAGACTATGTAGACATTATGCTGTTTCAAGAAAAGGCATGTTTGAGTCACCCTTCTTGTTGGTAATGTTATTAAGCTGTTCAACTGAAAAGATTCTGCATTCATCATTGGCATGGGATAAAAGATGAGTGTGCATAAATCAAAGTATGAGCTGCCAACACAAGAAACAGATAAGATGGAGAAGTGACCAGGTACTTACACAGTTCTATTCAAGGGACCAAGAGAAGAAAAACTCATTCAAACATGGAACTCATTCAGAATTTTTAGGGATAATTTCAGTTTTAGCTACGTTTAAGACTGAGGAGAAAGAACGTTCTACATAGTGGGCTGAGGATAAGTTAATTTTCTTAAAATTGCAGTTAGTTACATTGAAGTTGATTTAAAACATCATAGAGAATTGAAATAACAAGGCATTAATTTTTTTTCACTTTTTCAGATGTGTGTGTGTATGTGCACATTTTTTTTTTTATAGACAGTAGAAAAGTGTATAATGTAAATCTCCGAGATAGGTAAAACCAACCACACATTCATGAGAGGGTAGCCAAGCTCTGCTGATAACTTTAGTGACAGTGACGCTGTAGGGGAGGTTGAAAGCACAGTAGATGGAACAGGCAGGCCAAAACCAGCCTGGAATCCCACACCCTCTGTAACACAGGTGTCATGAGCAATTCTGAGCCCAGGGTCACTTCTCCAAGTTTTCTGCTAGAGGCTGATGTTTCTTGATCCTGGCAGCAGCTTTGTTGTGTTATTGTCTTAACTTGTCCTCAGCTCTGGGCCATTTTGTCATTCCTGTAATGCTATTTCTATGCCCATTTACCTTCTGTTAAGAAACAACGAAATTAAAAGACTAGGCAACTTCTGGGTTCAAAAAGGAGGGATCTATCTCAGAAAACAGAAAACTCTTTCCCACAATTTGAAGCTCTTTATTTGACAAGCACAGGAACTGTGATATCTACTTTATTCAGTGTCACATAGTAAAAGCGAGAGCTGGCAGAATGAGACATTTCTCACCCTCTGAGGAAGCAGTAATGATGATGTGTTTGTGAAATACTCCCAGTTTCTTCTTCCTCCTCCCACTCTTACTTTCTCACATTAACTTAGGAGGTGTGTCACTGTGCCCTTTCACCTCCTGATTTGTCATTTATCTTCACTTCCCTCGGCTTTGGCATAAGCTCCTCTTCCCTGACTCCCAATGTTCCTGCACTGCCCTGATGCCTTATCTTTAGGTCTGAAGCAGCCAGGAATTAGAAGTCTTTCTGTTTGTGTTCTCATTGTCTGAGATATGTAATCATGGATGTGAATGTCCTTGCCACTTAGCTAGCCTGTCTCCCTTTGCCTGGTTCGTCTCAAAGACTTTCTTGTTCAGCGTTATCCACAGAAAGATGTAAAACTGCTTGTGAATTAGCACTGAAAAATAAAACATTAGCAGCATCAATTTTAGAAACCACAGTGAACAAAAATACCACTAGTCTGACCCAAACTCACATGGGACCCTAATTTTCTGTTTGTTGCTTTAAGTGTCAGGTTGACTTGTTAGCTTAGAGACGCTGGCAAACATGTAAGAGGTACTGATAACTTATAATCATCATAGCAACGAGACCCATTCTAACAAAGCTTTGGTGTCATTTGCATGCATTTAAAATAGACCTCCAACCACACTGTGTAAGACAGCTTCTCTTTGGTGTTGGTGAAGGCATGACTACTCTTGCCCTATGCAACAATACAACAATATAATGAAAACATTTCCCACTACAGACTTAAAAGTTCTGTTTTGTCTTTATTGACAGTCCCTTAAGAAAACTTGCAACACTTTACTTTTTCTGTGTAAGGAGATGAAATCATAGGCTAAAGATCATTTTCTTATTTTCTGGGAAAACTCAAATCTACGTCTTATTAGCCATCTGCATGCGCACTTCAATTAAAATAATAATAACGCCAGTAATCCTTTCTTTCTCATGTTTCTAACCAGTTTCCACTTCAGTTATTTTATCACTGGTACTTTTTAGAAGGTTTCTTCTAATATTTTCCATTCCCCAAGATAAAAGTTATCATAGTCAGCTAGCTATGATAGATGAATTTCTAGAGTAAATCTATGTTAAAAAAAAGAATAAGTGAAAAAAAGATACAGAAATTTTTTTGTTGAGAAAAGATAAAATTCTTAATTGCCTGAAGTTAAATTGGTCATAAGAAATATGTTATAGCAGTTGGACATAGTGGAATTTACAAGAACTCCAAGCAGATGTGAGGTGGGAGCCAGAGGATCCTAAGTTTAAGGGCAGACTAAGCTGCATAAGAAGATACTCTCATAAAAATGAAAGAAAAGGCAAAAGAAGAAGAAAAAGAAAGGTAATCACGCAAAAAGGAAGGACTGGAAGAAGAGAGACGGGGGAGGGAGTGTGAAAAAATAATTGGGTATAAGTTTAAATTTCAGGTATGGTTTCCCTAAGCATGTCTACCACTTAGTTATTTCTATTGATCTAATTATAGAGTTAAATTTATTCACAAATATTTAAAAATGGAAAAATCTTAGCAAATTAATCCTTTATTGTCTAATGCCCAATAGCAATTCAGTCTCCACATAGACTTAAATATTATCTTATTGTTCTGATGAAATAGAAACCTTTTATAACATTCCAGCATGTGGAGTAGGAAAAGAAAGCCAGCCAGACAATAAAAAATTACAATGGTTTTCCTTAAAAAAGCAAGTAAAGACCATTTTAGCTTATTGTGTTCTCAATATATTTAATGAAGAATCAATAATAATTAAAAGAGGATTCATGAGTCAAAACCAAAAAGGATCATAGATATTACCCTAGACAGAAAAGGATTGTTTAAGAGTTTTAAACAATGTTTAAAAGCATCAGTGTTTAAGAGCACTGTCGGTTCTTCCAGAGGACCCAGGTTCAACTCCCAGCACCCACATGGCAGCTCACAATTGTCTGTATCTCCAGTTCCAGTGATCTGACACCCTCACACCAATGCACATAAAATAAAGTTAAATAAATTATATATTTAAAAAAGAAAAAGATCAAAAAATAATAAAGCAAAAGAATAAAATAAATAAAATAATACAACAAAAATATTTTTCTCCAAAGCAGTAACTAGGATTAAAGAAGAAAAGAGAACACTGGAATTCCAGCTAAGTGTGGTAAAAACACAGAGCTCAAAACCACTCTTTTTTTTTTTTCTTTCTGTATCCTCTGTGCAAAGCAGCATGTATTTGAGAAGGGGGAGAGCAGTAGGGTAGGTAGAGGGAAGGGGGTGAGGGAAGATTAACAGTGAGCCGCCTACTGTTATAAATAATGAAATAAGCAGTGACTGTGTATTTGGAAGGCTTATACAAATATGCACGACACCATTTTAGGCTGACTTGGGTACATCTTCACATGCTTCCTCAGGAGAAAAAGAATCATGTCTGTCTAGGTCATCAGAGAAGGGCTTAAGGAAGGTCTGTGCTAAGAGCTGACCCCCAAGAAAGGACCAAGCCTAAGTAGTCCAGGCTGAAGAGAATGCTAGTTTGGCTGGACAGAGATTTCTGAAGCTCGCTAGAGGGAGGGGATAACAACACCTCAGGTGTTGTCGAGGATCCCTGATCAAATAAGAGAGGAAGTTCTGATGAAAATGAAAACAAAAACAGACAAACACCTTGTCGCTTCACACATGAGGTCAGCTCTCACAATTGTGATGTCTGCTCTCCAGCCCATGAACATTTTCTGATCTATCTTGCCTTTGCAGGCTTGATGATGGAGGCTTTTACACCTGAAGGTGCCAGTATCTTGAACAACACTATTTAATGGTTTTTCCAAATGATATTGAATGGTACCACAAATGTCCTATCAATGGAGAGTATTAAATGAGCCTATTTACACGAGAACACACTAAGCCTTCTCCTTTTTGATGTTTGATTTCAGGTTGGCAAATTAATCAAGGAAGCCGCAGGAAAAAGCAATCTGAAGAGGGTCACCCTGGAGCTTGGGGGAAAGAGCCCTTGCATTGTGTTTGCGGATGCTGACTGTGAGTTCAAACCCTTTGTTGCCATCTCACTTTCCTCCTCCTGATGCCTGATAATGTCGCACAGTCACCTGGAGTCTGACAAGTGACTTTGCTTCAGGGTGAAAGGAATTAACTAGAGTCCGTGGTGACTCTGGAAGGCTTTTAATTTACCTATATTATTGTTCCATAATATAGGTAAATTATACACAGATAAGATTTTGTTCTGGGTTGGCATAGATTGCTACTTCCCAGTGTCAATCTGAGGTTGTATATATGGACTACATGTAGAATCTACGATGTGTTTTGATCGTTCCATGTTGCAGAACTTGCTGTACATGGAATTCACCATTGTAACCTTTACTGGAGATATTGTTTACTGCTTGGTTACCAACATCCTAGTTTGTTATTCTGTAAATTCTCCTCACTCTACTTTCAATATCTACTGTTAGCGCACAGATTCACACACAGTTTCTACAGCCATGAGCCATGTAGTCCTCATTTATAAACTTGACACAAACATTAAAAAACACTTCTTTTTTGTTTAGAATCAACAAAATCATGAGACAAAAATCTAGGCACATTGAACCATTTAAACTAAGTGAAGAGTTTGTATGCTTTTATTTTTTAGGCTTCAGCTAGATTTTGGAAATGTTTTTTTCTAGAGTAAGGCTGGGAGGATGAATTGTTCTGATGTAGTGAGTTTTGTTTATTTGAGTGTCATTTTCAGAAAGACAACTTTTTTATTGACCAAAACATTCAATAATGTTATGAAATTATTAAAGAAAATAGATAGTTCAGATTTCTATTGTCACCTAGTTAAAACCTGAAGAACTAAAAAAATGGAAGTAATTATGGAATTATTTGCAATGACATTTAATCTTATTATAAAATCTCCATTCTTCAGGAGTCATAGCAGACACTGTCTTTTCAGATTCCTTTTGTTGATATTATTTCTATGGTAAATAAAGGGTCAACAAGTCTAATTTATTATATGACTTCTCACTGATGGAATATATTGAGTCTATATATGATCAAATGATTTATCACTTTTTTCTATGACCATATTTTATCTGAAAAATATATGTGTGCGTTCTTCTTTAGAAAATATTTCTTCTCTCCTGTGAATGTCTCCTCTGCAGTGGATAGTGCTGTTGAGTTTGCACACCAAGGGGTGTTCTTCCACCAGGGTCAGATTGGTGATGCAGCATCCAGGCTTTTTGTGGAGGAGTCAATTTATGACGAGTTTGTGAGAAGGAGTGTTGAGAGAGCTAAGAAGTACATTCTTGGAAATCCTCTGGACACGGGGATAAATCAAGGTCCTCAGGTGAGTAAAGATTAGAAGAGGCAAGCACTTCAGAAGGAAAACCAATCATTTTATGCCTAATTTTGATTAAGCTTAGCTTGTTATTAGCTGATATCTTCAACTGATGATTTAAAGAATCTGACTTCCAATAGCAAAGACATCATCCTGTTTTTTTTATTGGCCATTTAAAAAAATATCCAGAAACATTCTAGATGTCATGTGGGAATTAAGTACAGAAAAAAGGGCTGGGGAGATGGATCCAGACATAAAACATTTTGTCAGACAGCCATGAAGACCAGAATTCTGAACTAACACCCACATAAAAGCTGGATGTGTGTAGGGACCCACCTGTAATCCCCGTGGTCAAGAGAATGAGCTGGCTAATTAGACTGGATCTATGAGTTCAGTGAGAGAGCCTGCATCCATTGATGAAATGGAAAGCCATTGACATCCACACACATGTAAATACATGTACATGCATGCACTTTTATGCACTTCTTCTACACACAGGTGCACACATATGCATTTGTTCCCACTTGCACTCATATACATGCCAACCGCACGTCCACTACACACACACATACACACACACAAAAGTAAAATTTAAAATGCTGTTAATTTTTTGCATTCAATTGGTAAAACTTTTAATTTCTACAGACAAATTTTAGTCTGAAAGTTGTATACGGATCTGCCAGTTCTCCCTCACAATCAGTCCTTCACTTCAGCCACCATTCCTGAATCCTCTGCAGGATTCTGAGCCTCTCTGATGTAATTAGGTCATAACTGTCCTTGAAGATCTTGGTTTCTTCTCACAAACTTTTCCTTTTATTTATCAAAAGGTAGGTATTCCCTGAGAGATTAGGTATCTTTCTGTGTAGTTAGATCTACTGTAACTATAAATGTCTTTGTCTATGTCACCCAAAGGTCACCTTTTTCCTCTTCCACAGCTTTTATTCAATCTTTGTTATGATCTGTTGTTTAAGATTTTAGACCTTTGGTTCTGGGTTCACTCCTCCCTCTGGATCATGCTCTATAACAGTGATATTAAACCCAAAGCAGACCCCACCTTTCAATATGGGACACTGGCCTTATCTGAAGACAGGTTAAGTTGTTATAGCAAGGTGGGGTGGGTGGGTCCACATATATCTAGTGGGAAGAAGAAGGGATGCTGATGTACAACCCACAGTGAACAGGAAAACCTCACAAGCAGGAGCTGCTTGATATCCCCAAGTTCTGTAGAGCCGCTCCTGAAAGCTGTGCTCCAGGGACTGGACATTGACCTTGGAGCATCACTATTTCACATTAAATATGATACACTGTACCTCATTCATTCTTGAATTTCTTCTCCCCTTCTTCTTCTTTTTTTTGTCTCCCTCCCCCACCTCTCATAAGTTTAATAGAATCTTTATTGTGGATTACTGTTGCACATATGTCTACATATTATGTAAAATATAGCCTGCTGAGTGCATTTGGTATGGCCCTTATGTATATGTGCTGAGGGTTTACTGCTTGAGACTGGATAACCTATCACTGATTCCTCTCTGGCAAAAATGATTCCTCAGTCCTCAGCTGTTAATTTCCTCTAGTTCTTCCTCTGGTGGTAGGGTCTTGTGAATTTTATTTCCAACAATGTTGGCTTATCAACTGCTTTTATCATTGTGTAGGTCTTGTTTAGGCGAACAAATTTTTAAATATAATTTTTTATTTATTACAATGTATTCACTTTGTATCCCAGCTATAACCCTACACTCATCTCCTCCCAATCCCACTCTCCCTACCTCCCTCATCTCAGCCCATGCCATTTCTCCAGTCCACTGATAGTGGAGGACCTCCTCCCATTCAATTTGATCCTAGCCTATCAGGACTGTCTTTCACAGTTTTCCTCTGTGGCCTGGTCAGGCTGCTCCCCCCTTAGGTAGAGGTGATCAAAGAGCCAGCCATTGAGTTCATGTCAGAGACGGCTCCGGTTCCCCTTACTAGGGAGCCCATTTGGAGACTGAGCTGCCACGGGCTAGCTCTCTCTGTGCAGAGGGTCTAGGTTATCTCCATGAATGGTGCTTGGTTGGAGTATCAGTCTCAGAAAAAAAAAAAACCCTAGGCCTAGAATTTTTGGTTTTGTTGGGTGAACACATTTTTTTTTTTTTTGAGATTTCATGGGTGCAGCTTCTCTGTCATATATAGAAGACACTCACAAAAGATATCCTGATTCTATGGCTATTATAAAATTTCTGCCTTAAAATTCATAATGTTCCTCACACGACAATGTAAGGGTTATATTGTAGCTGTTTCAATTGAATTAATGAAATAATGTATTTTAATATCTATTCTCAATGCTCTTATTGGACCATGTTTGCCAAATATGTGCTTTTCACAGATATGCTTGTGTTTCTTGGATTTATCTGATTTTCAAAACATCAAATCTAAGGAATCAGAAAAAATTTATATTCAAAGAATAAAATTATAACTTACAGCAATATCATGACTTATAGAATTTTCTAAAGTGGTCCATGAAACAATAAATATCTCTGATACACACAAAAATTATTGAAGAGGGCCAGAAATTGATAAAGAAAGCCAAGCTTATCACTAGTCAATCTGAAACCTTATAAACCACAGAATGCCACTTAGTCCTGTTATATTAACTGATATGTAGCAATACCAATGTCCCTCATTTTAAGCCAACCACTAGAATTCCATTATAGGCTGGAAATAAAGAGCCTTTCTTTGGGAAATATCTCTTCGAGTGACGTGCACAAGAGATTTTATAGTAACATTGTATCACATACTGTTTCTAAAATTAAAACTGATTGTGGCTAGCATTTACTCTATATCCATGTTGAAGCAGAGTTAAGTGCATTTAGAAAGCCATGGGATCTCTTCGGGTGCTTGAAAGACTGAGGAGATCGGCAGAGTCCAAGAATATGAAGAATGCCATTTTTAAGTCAGGACAAGAGACACGTTGAATAGGCAAAGAACTGACCCTATTTTTAGTGCTTTAATCTCTGCTTTTTTGTTTGTTTTGTTTTGTATTCAGTGTGCCCCCAGTCACACCTTAGATATGCTGTTTTCAACAATGATATGATATCTAAGAGATAATCATTGACCCCCTTATATGAGAGCTGAAGGAACAGGAAGAGCCCACATTCCAATGCAGTGTGGAAAGATTTGGGTTATTCTGACATTAGCAAACAGAATTTTGACCTTTTTTTCACCCTTTGTTATGTGAAAATATTAGTTAAAATGTTTCACATTCATGTCAACTGCCATGTGCTTAGACATAGTTGAAGCAGAACATGTTAGCAGCAGAACATGGGATGCAACCTTCTGTGCTGAACTATGATCCAATATGATGCCCAAGGGATGGCAGGTCATGCATGACTTAGGGATGCACAGACTCTGCCTCTGAAGAAGAGGCCTCTGAGAGTCAAGAGCATCTCCTTCGCAAGTGATGAGCCTACTGGATCTAAATCAAAGTCCTCTTTCTCATTTTACTCTTTTTTTTTTCATTCAGGACTAAAATTCCAGACCAATGTGTTAATCATTAACAATTATATTTTTGCCAAGTGACTAAAAAATAGTTGTATGAAAACTTCATATATTCTTATGTCACCAATTTCTATTTTTACCTAACTGTAACGCTAAACTCACATACTTTAAAGGTTTCTTTTCTGAAAATTCATGAGAAAGCAAGCATACTGAAAAATGAAATGAATGCCTGTCACCTTTTTTAAATAATTAATTTAATATGAATGATTAATTTAATATCCTGGCATTTTGAAGCTTTCATTTACATGTTATCTTCATTGTCACTCTTTTCCCTGTGGCTTCTTTTCAACTAGATTGACAAGGAACAACATGATAAAATACTTAATCTCATCGAGAGTGGGAAGAAAGAAGGAGCCAAACTGGAGTGTGGTGGTGGACGCTGGGGCAACAAAGGCTTCTTTGTCCAGCCTACGGTCTTCTCCAATGTCACTGATGAGATGCGCATTGCCAAAGAGGAGGTAATGTTTCCACATGGTTCTATTTCTGTGATTGCCATGTTCTCTCTGTGTGCAAGCTGTGTGTCCCTCTAAAATCCTCAGCTCCTTTTCTGATACACCCAGGAAGCACCTGATGATAAAGTCTTAAGTTATTGGTGATCAAAATTAAATAGTAAGCATTCTAAGTGACCTGCAAAAAGTTTCTGACAGACAGACTGAAATGACAGATGATAAAATATTTTTAAGATCTATTTTATTTTTATTAATTACTGTTTATTCACTTTGTATTCCCACCTGTAACTCCCTCTCTCTTCCCCTCCCAATCCTAACCTCCCTCCCTCCTCTCTACCCATGCCCCTCCCTTAGTCCACTGATAGGGGAGGTCCTCCTTCCCTTCCATCTGATCCTAGTCTGTCAGGTCTCATTAGGAGTGACTGCATTGTCTTCCTCTGTTGCTGGGTAAGGCTGCTCCCCCCTCAAGAGGAGGTGATCAAAGAGCAGGACAATCAGTTCATGTCAGAGACAGCCCCTGTTCTCCTCATTAGGGCACCCACTTGGACACTGAGCTGCCATGGGCTACATCTGTGCAGGGGTTCTAGGTTATATCCCTGAATGGTCCTTGGTTAGAGTATCAGTCTTAAAAAAGATCCCTGTGTCCATATATTTTGGTTCTGTTGCTCTTCTTGTGGAGCTCCTGCCCTCTCTAAGTCTTTCTATCTCCCCCTTCTTTCATAAGATTTCCTGCCCTCTGCCCAAAGTTTGGCTGTGAGTCTCAGCATCTGCTTTGATACCCTGCTGGGTGGAGTCTTTCAAAGGCCCTTTGTGGTAGTCTCCTGTCCTGTTCCGTGTTTTCTCCCTCTTCTGATGTCCATCCCCTTTGCCTTTCTGAATGAGGATTGAGCATCTTACCCAGAGTCCTCTTTCTTGCTTAGCTTCTTTAGGTGACATTAAAAAGTCAACATATCCTCACAGAGTGGACTGGCCTTGTAAGGGAAGTGAGGGTGAGTCCTGAGAAGCACAGTCTAAGTAATAGCAATAAAGATGGTAAACAGATAGTCAATGTGTAACTAAGAGGAACTAGTTTATGATTAAAATGGCAAGTGATATACTCATGAGTCTTAGAGCTTATATTATATGCAGTGATATTTTCATTGGCCTTGGACAATGAAACTGTTATGTGATACTCCACAATAAGAAGATACAGATAATCAACTACAAAGAATCATAATTTCCACCTTCAATGAATTCATACTCATGTTCTGGATATGATAGAGGATCTGAGAGGTTATTTTCTTTACTTCCATAATACCAACAAAGAAAGAGAAACAGGGAATAGTTAGCTTTGCAAGAAGAAGAAGAAATAACTGTAAAGAAAACAAAAAAAAAATCATACATACATATGTGGATCATCCAACACATACTTGGTTGTCTGTATCAACCCGCTCCTCAACTGCATTTGAATTTCTGCAATTATTGGCCAATTCTTCTTTGATTAGAGGTATTTTTCTTGTAGACTTTGATTCACATGGGTGGGAAGGATAATAAAGTAGAAAACAATCTCTACTCAAGGGAACATTTATGGTGCTCCGCCAAAATTCTCACTAGAATATATCATTTGCTGCTTCATAATAGGAGCCTGGAGCCTACACTGTCTCAGCTAAGTTGATGCGACTCTGAGCAAACCCACCACTGTCCTGCTGCACCTGCTTCCCACTTACAATGTTCATGATGTTATGCTTCCCCATTATTCATAATGGACTTTAGAACCTCAGGATCTGTCCCCAGCCTACAGGGAGTGACCACTAACTGCCCCGTACCACTCAAATAGACTAGAAACCAGGAAACCATTTGGTGCCTGATATTCAGTCCTTACATTTTGGGCAGATTTGTCACAGCATGTAAGAACAAACACTCCTATTACAATTGACATCTGCTTCACATAGAATGTCACACACGAATACAACCTGTTCCCACAATCACTGGCCGTGACCATCTGTTTTGGTTCTGACATGTAGGTCTTAGATGAGAGACAGAACCTTAGCTAATATAGAATGGTTTCTAGACAAGCATATGTAGTATATTTAAGGCCTATGTAGTGTTTATGCTGTTTGACCTATTTTTGTGTCATTCGTGGGTAGATATTTGGACCAGTGCAACAAATCATGAAGTTTAAGTCTATGGATGAAGTGATCAAGAGAGCAAACAATACTACGTACGGTCTAGCAGCAGGAGTCTTCACGAAGGACCTGGATAGAGCCATCACTGTGTCTTCTGCTCTGCAGGCAGGGATAGTGTGGTAAGTGACACTGAAGGGAGGGGTGCCTCTCCTGTAGAGGCCACATGGGTAGGGTGTCTTGACCTCCTCCAGACTTGAATTTTCATAAAAATTTCTGACCAGTTAGAAAAGTAGTTTCTGTAAATAAAAACAAGAACAAATTATCCTCATCTAGCTTTTCAAGTTATTTATTGAGAATATTGACTATAATATGGTCAATGTTCTAGATTTATTCAATATATGTATTGTTAGATAATTTCAGGGAACTTGGCACTCTGCTATAAAATATGTGCGATGAAAGAAAAAATTGTTGTAGTCAACTTTATATTAGACAATGTGTATACCTTATAGAAATTATTTATGCTATTATCAATTTGACATATTTGAAATCAAACCTAAGATTTTACATTAGCTGAGCACACCCTCTATCCACAAGCTTTTTTCTAGTCTGCTTTCTGCTTTTTTAAATTAAATTTTTATTTTTTACATTAATTACATTTTATTTGCTTTGCATCCCAGCTGTAGCCCCCTCCTTCATTCCCTCCCAATCCCTCTCTCCCTCATCTCTTCCCATGCCCCTCTCCAAGTCCACCTATAAGGGAGGTCTACCTCCCCTTCCATCCAACCCTAGCTTATCAGGGCTCATCAGGACTGGCTGCAATGTCCTCCTCTGTGTCCTGGCAAGGCTGCTCCTCCATTCGGGGAGGATGGTCAAAGAGTGGTCAAAGAGCCAGCAGCTGAGTTCATGTCAGAGACAGTCCCTCTTCCCCTTACTAGGGTACCCACTTGGACACTGAGCTGCCATGGGCTACATCTGATCAGGGGTTCTAGGTTATATCCATGAATGGACCTTGGTTGGAGTATCAGTCTCATAAAATACCCCTGAGCCCAGATATTTTGGTTCTGTTGCTCTTCTTGTGGCGCTGCTGTCCTCTCTCGGTCTTACTAACTACCTCTTCTTTTATATGATTCCCTGCACTCTGCCCAAAGTTTGGCTATGAGTCTCAGCAGCTGCTTTGATACACTGCTAGTGCTTTTTAACATAAGACAAGAGCACACTTAGTTGCTCAATCTGGCCTTGAACTCACTCTGTGACCCACAGTAGCTGTAAACCTGGAATAGACATAGTATTACTCAATTCTTTATAAAAATTGAATTCATGTATACGGCTACATTGCTTGCATGTGTGCCTGTGCACCATGTGAGAGTTCCTGGTGCATGCAGAAGCCAGAAGAGGCATCAGATTTGCCTGACTTGGTATCACAGACAGTTGCAAACGACAAGACACAGGTACTGGGAACAAACTCTAGTCTTCCATAAGAGCAACAAGTACTGTTAACTCTAAGCCATCTCTCCAGCTTTTTCTCTAGCATTTGATTTAGTCTGTTCTTTGATTTTTGTAATTTAACTTTAATAGAAACTCTCAGGCTGTGCCTCTCAAAGTGCTGCTTTCCCCAGGCATCTCCATTCCATGGACTTTCTCCTCAGCAGCCTCTTTCTCAGCAAGCTTCCCTTTCCTCAGTCCTGGCAACAGCACAAGCTTTTTTTTTTTTTCATTCTCTCTCTTAGCACGGTGAAGGAAAATTAGGCTCAGAAAAACATCCTAAGAGACACAACCAGGCAGTTCTTGACCATCTTGATAACTTGAAAAATCCTTTTCTCCTATCAAAGTCAGAGTCATCAGTTAGCAACTATTCGCTCAGAGTTGCATTGTATTTCTTACATTCATCATTTATCTTACTTGACACCTATGATTTCTTAACCCAAGCCTTATCTGTGATTAAAAATCAGGAGCTTGCTCAGATTAAGTAAGTTATCAGGATCATGATAGGAGGTAGACCTTTAACGCTCTCTACAAAAACCTTTTCAGCTTTTCTATGTTAGTACGAGTGAGTATAGCCAGCTTGACCCTAAAATGCCAGATCCAAAATGTGCTGAAATATGCCAACACATTGTTTAAAATGTTTGTATTTTAGAGCATTTCAAATTGTGTGTTTTCAAATATGGACTTTTCAACCAGTGAAATCTATGTGAATAGTCCATAGTCTGAAAAAAAAACCCAAGCTGAGATGCTTGCGGTCCCTGCATTTCAGAGACGGAGTTCTCAGGCCGGATCATCTAAGAACTTCAGAATGTATAATGTGGGCTGAGGTGGTGGCTCAGCAAGGAAATCACTTGCTATGCCAGCAGAAGGAGCCGAGTTCCATTCTAGTTTCTGTGCAATAGCCAGATATGGTGGCTTGTGCTTATGATTCTGTCCTTGTGGCCAGAGGAAGACACATCCCTGCAGTTTATTGGCCAGGCAACTTTACTAGATTGGTGAGCTTCAGGCTCAGTGGGAGATAGGGTCTCCAAAGGTAAGGTGGAGAGAAAACGAAGTGACAAATTCCCCCCCAAAATTTGACCTTCACCTCCAGCCTCCACGTATTTTCCCGCATGTGTATGCTCATGAAATTGAAAAGCTTCTGTAAATCAAAGGACACCATCATCAAAACAAAACGACTGCCTACAGATTGGGAAAGAATCTTCACTAACCCTTATCTGACAGAGAGCTAATATCCAGCATATATGAAGAACTAAAGAAACTGAAAAGCAAACCAAGTAATCCAATTAAAAAATGGGGAATAGAGCTAAACAGAGAATTCTATGTAGAGGAGTATCGAATGGCAGAGAAACACTTGAAGAGATGCTCAACCTCATTAGCCATTAGGGAAATGCAAATCAAAACAACCCTGAGATTTCACTTTACACCCATCAGAATGGCCAAGATGAAAAACTCAAGTGACAATACATGTTGGAGAGGTTGTGGAGAAAGAGGAACCCTCCTCCACTGCTGGTGGGAATGTAAACTTGTACAACCATTCTGGAAATCAATCTGGTGCTTTCTCAGACAACTAGGAATGGCGCTTCCTCAAGATTCAGCCATACCACTCCTAGGCATATATCCAAAAGAGGCTCAAGTACACAATAAGGACATTTGCTCAACCATGTTTGTATCAGCCTTATTTGTTATAGCCAGAATCTGGAAACAGCCTAGATGCCCCTCAACTGAAGAATAGATGCAGAAATTGTGGTACATCTACACAATTGAGTATTACTCTGCAATGAAAAATAAGGAAATCATGCAATTTGCAGGTAAATGGTGGGACCTGGAAAGGATCATCCTGAGTGAGCTGTCCCAGAAGCAGAAAGACACACACGATATATACTCACTCATATAGACTTATAGGATAAACCTAAAATCTGTCCATCTAAAGAAACTAATCAAGAGAGAAGACTCTGACTAAAACGCTCAATCCCCATCCCTAAAGGCAAAGAGGATGGACATCAGAAGAAGAAGAAAGCAGGAAACAACCTAGGAACCTGCCACAGAGGGCCTCTGAAAGGTTCTGCTCTTCAGACTATCAAAGTAGATGCTGAGACTTTATGGCCAACTGTTGGGCAGAGTGCATGGAATCTTATGTAAGAAGTGGGAAATAGTAGGTTATGGAGAGGACAGGAATCCCACAAGGAGAGCAACAGAACTAGAAGATTTGAACACAGGGGTCTTCCCAGAGACCCATACTCCAACCAAGTACCAGGCATGGAGATAACCTAGAACCCCTGTGCAGATGTAATCCATGGCAGTTTAGTGTCTAAGTGGGTTACATAGTAATGGGAAGAGGGACTGCCTCCGACACAATCTGATAGGCCTGCTCTTTGATCACCTCCTCCTGAGGGGAGAGCAGTCTTACCAGGCGACAGAAGATGACAATTCAGCCATTCCGGATGTGATCTGATAGACTAAGATCAGAAGGAAGGAGAGGAGGACCTCCCCTATCAGTGGACTTGGGGAGGGGCATGCATAAAGAAGGGGGAGGGAGGGTAGGATCGTGAGGGGAGGAGGGAGGGGCTTATGGGGGGATACAAAGTGAATAAAGTGTAAAAATAATAATAATAATAAATAAAACAAAAAAGAAAAAATATATATAAACAACTAAATGAGGGATGAGCTTATGAATCAAACCTCTCAATCATAGTATGTCTCTGTGATCTATGCTGGGCATAGGATCTTTTATTCAATGAACCTTTTAAAACTACTGTATAATGTTTGAATACCAATTAGCATTAAGTGCCAGAGCTCAAAATCTTGTTGGGTTTTTTTTTCATAGTGTTATTTTTCCTCGAATCTCTTAAAGGAATTAAATTAAATTCTCATATAGTTAGTGCAACTAATGATCAACAGACTTCTCCCTACGATAAAAGTACTAGTAAATTTAGTGTTACCAACTCACACATACTCATATTTTGCATTTCGTAAAAATTTATAGTGTACCATGTGTTCTTAGAAATCACCTGCAGAGGTTAACAGCAGCCCTATAAAACATAGATCATTATCCTGTCTACATCAGCATTAAAATGATTGTTCATGGCCTGCAGAATTACTGCAGTCACCACTCTCCCATGACCTTGATCTACTTCTGAGATTTTCTTTAATTCTGTTCACAATTAACACTGTACTTTTCTGTAGAAACATCTTCAAAGTGTTTCCAAAAGCTGATTAGCAGACTGATTAATTAGGCCCAGTTCCCTCCATCACTTCTGTTTAAACCTTGTATTGATCAATGAATGAAACAAACGAATCACTGACACATTATAATTGCCAAAAGAGTTGATTTTGCACTGCTCAGTGTATGAACTTCAAAATCATCACAAAGTTTCCTGCACAGAGAGCATTAAAGAAAGCCCTTCAGTTCCAGCCTTAGACACTTCCTTCTGTGGTACATTGTTTCTTCTCTGTGTAATGATTCAAACTAACCTTTTTTAAAAAATTAACTATTCATGCTTATAGTTGGATCTTTTATTTCTAGGTAATACAAGTGGATGCTTTCTGCATTGTAAATCACAGCATTGCTTTTTATCTCAGTGATCATATTAGACTGAAACAAAGGAGTTCTTAAGGAGATCTCTGAATATTTAAACTTCCAATTTAGAAATCATGGCATGAGTTAATTGTTATCTATAGTAACCTTCTCTTCTCTGTTGTAGGGTGAACTGCTATTTGTCTCTCGCTATTCAGTGCCCCTTCGGTGGATTCAAGATGTCTGGAAATGGGCGAGAAATGTAAGTTAAACTTCATATTACAATACATGCATAATTTTGTGAAAAGGATTTCCACTCCCAGGAAACTGATCCATTTTTATTACCATGTAAACTCCACTTATAGTACCAAATAGTGTTTTAAATTTTGAAAGCAATCGCTAAGTGCAGAAAAGCAATAGTAGATGGAGAATATTTTATTAAGCTCCTACAACCCAGAAAGGGCCATGCTCTGTACCCCATCTTGGTAACTAAGTTGTTGACTGCTAAGGATTGCCCGTGGTATATGGGAATAAAAGCTATTGGGAAACATTTTCAGAAAGTGGGCAAAGGGGCACACATAATCTTGAGATGCATGTAAATAAATATTGAAACACTCTAGGTATTCAAATATACCTCTTAAATAAATGAAGGTTTCCATACCTCAAACTGATATGCTTTTGGTAAGGTCTACCTAAGGTGCATCTGCTAAATAAGGCATTTTCTGCAAAATGTCTACAGAGAATAACTGTGGTGGTCCCTCTAATGACTCCCTCCAAAAGTTACAATATGATCATTCTCAAAGACAGAAAAATGGAATTAACAAAATTGGAAGCAGGGTTCCCAAAGAGCCTCTTATAGTGAACTCACATTAATTTTTATCTTCTTAATAATAATTTTTACAGCTTGGTAAAAATTATGTGCTAATTTGTCTGCCTCTTTGACATGAACTATTTATTAAAACACTACGTTTTAATGGGCTTTAGAAAACTTTCTCAGACCCTCTAGTTATGGTGAAAAACATGCTGTTGAGATTTTCAAGAAGTATTTTAAGAAATTCAAATTATACAAAAAACAATCAATATAAAGGGATTATTGATTGCTCAGAAGAATAAGACATCTTTTATATACCCAACTGAATCAAGAGGCGGCTTGGCAGAGAAGTATCAAAATCCAGACGTTTTGCAAGCATATGCGTTTATAGGTTGATTCTGAGAAGAGTCCTTTATATGTGTGATTTGATCTAATCCAAACCATGCAGAAGCTAGCTAAGTGAAATCCTTCCGCGTTATATCATCCACTGGGTGGAAACAAGTCATAATCTCCACAACTGGCTTCAGGTAAAAGCCTAGTAAGTTACCGTGGTACCCGCAGAGAGACTCCACTTGGCTTTTAGTCACTTGGGGTTGGCTTGAATAATTTCTAAGTGTAGTATGGAATGTTTTTTTTTTAAATTTTTATATTAATTACAGTTTACTTACATTATATCCAAGCTATAGCTCCCTCCCATTCTCCCTCCCTTATCTTCTTCCTGCCCCTCTCTAAGTCCACTGATAGGGGAGGTCCTCCTCCTCTTCCATTTGATCCTAGCTTATCAGGTTTCATCAGGACTGGCTGTAATGCTTCTGTGGCCTAGCAAAGCTGCTCCTCCCTCAGTGTGTGTGTGGGGAGGGCAAAGAGCCAGCCACTGAGTTCATGTCAGAGATAGTTCCTGTTCCCCTCACTAGGGAACTCACTTGGATACTGGGCTGCCATGAACTAGGTCTGAGCAGGGGTTCTAGGTTATATCCAAACATAGTCCTTGGTTGGAGAATCAGTCTCAGAAAGGACTCCTGTGCCCAGATATATTTGGTCCTTGTGGAGCTCCTGTCCTCTCCAGGTCTTACTAACTACCCCTTCTTTTGTATGATTTCCTGCACTCTGCCCAAGGTTTGGTTGTTGAATAATAGAGAAAACCAATATCTTCTAAAATCTGAAAAGCCTCAGTCAGGCCAATCTTTAGTTTTTTGTTTTTTTTTTTTAAAGTAAATACAAGAAAAAAAAAAAAGCCCTCCAAAACCAGAACAATCAAGCAAAAACAAAACAAAACACCCCCGCCACCTACCCACCCAAACAACCAACCAACCAACCAAAAACCCAAAACAACAACAACAAATTCCACCAGCAAAGATTAGATGGTTGTTTGGCTCGGAATCAAAACACCCTGTTTTAACTGCAGCTTCAGAAGAACAGGCCACCCTGAAGGAACGTGGATCTTGGGCGTTTTCTCCCTACTGATCCTTCTGTGACAATGCAGATGGTGAAAGCAGGCTCCAGCGCAGCTGGTGGTTTATTCCAGTGCCCTTCAGAGACCATACGGTGCAGCGCGAACTGCACCTCCCTCACTAATGGCCTGATAAAATCTGATCAGGTTGACTTACGTGCTAGTCATATGGTCAAGTAGTGTGATGCACACAATAGACATCGTCTCTGAAACTGAGCCATGTACGCAGTTATTTAAAATAAAAGACAAGAATAGTTTTCTCCATTGCAGACTTTGTTAGGTCATAAAGCTTATGGTTGGCTGGCAACTGTAGGAGGTACTGTGTACTCAGTAAATATTTTACATTGTCCCTAGTCAGATAAGCAAGAAAAAACTTATACCATGTTGCCAGGGATTATATTTGACTTACACTGCAGTGCATAGTCATGTTGACTGGCAATTTTTTTTCCCTCTCTAGGGGTGAGGAAGGTCTTTATGAATACACCGAGCTCAAGACAGTTGCAATGAAGATATCTCAGAAGAACTCATAAAAAGCCAGCAGAGCGAAGAGAAACTCTCCAGCAATGGCTACACATCTCCTATAGTTACCAGCACAGTGGTGTGCCACTATAATCTCTTCTTCTGTCGATTTCTTAACATACATGATTCATTAGTATTAATGTCACAGATAAAAAAACATGTATCTTAATCTGACACCAATTTGTATCCCAGATTAAAAGGATATATCTAAGTGCAAGCTCTCTGTAACTGTCATAATCAGGTGCTTTGCACTGTAGCAATTTGTCTAGAATATTCATTTGGTAAGAGGACCAGTAGTTACTTAAACTCTGTCCATCAGTGACGCTGCAGAGTAACTGCAGAGTGAGCTGTTCTGTTCCCTGAGGTTGTCCCCTCCAACGCTCTGAACTGTGTTCTAGAATGCCATGCCCACCTGTCAAGTGGAATACCGAGCTGTAAATTAGGACACAAAGCTTAATAAAGGCCATCTCACATGATTTTGTTCAGTTTGAATTTTTGAAACATGTATTTATTCGTTGAGAATGTTATATATATGTCCAGTGTACTGTTATGGTAATCAACCCCTCTCTCCCCTCTGATTCCTCCCAGATCAGATCTCAATCCATGTGCCTTCTCCTCTCAATTTCATGTACTTTTAAATTTGTTGTGGCCCATTGAATCCAGTGAAGGCTGCCCACAGGCACGTGAACGTGTAGCCACTCACTGGGCCATTGAGTGGAGCCAATGGCCCACTGGAGCCATCAGCTGGAGAAAACTGGCTCTTCTTCCCCCAGCAGCCATCAGCTGCTAATAGCTCTCTTATGGAGGTAGCATGTGTGCTCCTCCTGTATGCAGCTTATAATGTTGACAGGCTTTTTCTTGTCCAGGTCTTGTGTTTTTGTTAACCACAACCACCATGACCTCATGAGTACAGTGAACCTGTCATGGTCAAAAGGCATGATTTTATAGCAGTCTTCCCTGATGTATTGCCCTTACAATATTTTCACCCCTCTTCCATGATGTTCCTGGGCCTTGGGAGAGGGGTTTTCATATGCAAGTCCCACTTATAGCTAAGCATTCCGCAGAGATTTATTCTCTGCATGTTAGCCAGTTGTGAATCTTTACATTAATCATCTTTCTCTAAAAAAGAAACTTCTCCAAAGGGGACTGAGAATGCACTGATTTATGTGCAAAGATGTAAATCTTTGGAGGAAGTTTGATACTGTATTCTCTGAACTTGTTGCTGTAGCTCACAAGTTCACAGCTAGATAAGAGTGTTGATGACATTTCTCCCACATGATGTCCAGAGCACCTTCTGCTTCTTCAAAAGCTAGAAAGCAGAAAGAAGGCTTTTAAGTCAGTACCAGCTTGATTTCCTCAGCCTTTCATGACTGAAGTATGTGTTGTCTTCAGAAGTAAGGTCATATCATTGTGTTCTGGTGGGCAACTAGAGCAACAGCTTTATCTTGTCTTGTTTGCGGATTCCTAGGGACTCCCATTTTGATCAAAAGGGTACCCCATAACTAGCATATATATAATATATAAGGTATATATATTCTATGTATGTATATTAGCAGCAGGGACTTCTGACAAGTAGGGTATTGAATGAAGTCTTGCACTATCAGTGTGTGAAGGTTAATTTGTGATCTAAGCTGCATTAATGCTTGTTTTACAAACATGGTTGCCATTTTTGGAGGTGTTATAGATTGTTAGAAATTGAAATATCATCCTGGTAGATTTTCCCTTTGAATATGTAGTTTCCTTTCCCATCCCTTTTGATTAATTTTTGTTTGAAGAGTCTCACATGCATTTTTACGTGCTTATGGGCATATTGGATTTAGAATTTTGTAAATATATATATATATATACATTTTTTTTGTATATGTACATATCTTTTTATGCTAGTACCATGCTTGTTTTACTACTGTGGCATTATGGTAGAGCTTGACGTCATAAATAGTGATTCCTCCAGTGGTTTTACTGCTCTGTTATTGGCTATGTGAATTTCAGGGTTTATTTTTCAATTTCTATGAAGGATTGTCTTGGAATTTGGATGGGTATTACACTGAATCTTCATATTGCTTTGGCTAAGATGGCCATTTCCATACTATTAATCCTGCTAACCCATAATCATGGGCATTCTCTCTATCTTCTGGTGTCTTCTATTATTTCTTCAGTGTTTTAAAGATTTCATTATACAGGTCTTTCATTTACTTGGGTAGGCTTATTCCAGTGTATTTGATTTGACTGAGAATGGAATTGTTTCTTCAATATATTTCTCAGTATGTCCATGTTAGGTATATAGAAAAGTAACTGATTTAGCAATGTAAATTTTGTAACCTGACATTTTGGTTAGTGTTTATCAGCTCTAAGGGTTACCCGCTAGAATTTGGAATTCTCATGTATAGAATCACATCATCTATGAAAAGGGATGCTTTGATTTCTCTCTTTTTTACTGTGTTTCCTTATTTCCTTCTCTTGTCTTATTGTGGTAGCTAGAACTTTAAACATTGTGTTGATTAGAAGTGTTGAAAGTGGTCATGGTTGTAGTGTCCTGAACTTAGAGGGAGTTTTTTTTCCATTTAACGTTATGATCACTATAGATTTTTTTTATTATTATTAATTACAGTTTATTCACTTTGTATCCCTCCCTCCTCCCCTCCCAATCTCAACCTCACTCCCCCTTCTCCACCCATGCCCCTCCCCCAGTCCACTGATAGATGTGTTCTTTCTCTCTTTTCATCTGATCCTAGCTTATCAGGTCTCATCAGGACTGGCTGCATTGTCTTCTTCTGTGGCCTGGTAAGGCTGCTCCCCACTTAAGGTAGGTGATCAAAGAGCAGACCAATCATTTCATGTCAGAGACAGTCCCTGTTCCCATTACTATGGAACTCACTTGGACACTGAACTGCTATGGGCTACATCTGTGCAGGGGTTCTAGGTTATCTCCATGAATGGTTCTTGGTTGGGATATCAGGCTCAGGAAAGACCGCTGTGCCCAGATATTTTTACTTCTGTTGCTCTCCTTGTGGAGCTCCTGTTCCCTTCAGGTCTTTCTATCTTCCCCTGTTTTCATAAGATTCCCTGCACTCTGCCCAAAGTTTAGTTATGAGTCTCAGCATCTGCTTTGATACCCTGCTGGGTAGAGTCTTTCAGAGGCCCCCTGTGGTAGGCTCCTTTCCTGTTCCCTGTTTTCTCCTGCTTCTGATGTCTATCCCATTTGCCTTTCTGACTGAGGATCGAACATTTTACCCGGGGTCCTCCTTCTTGTTTAGCTTCTTTAAGTGTACAGATTTTAGTATGTTTATCCTATATTATATGTCTATCATCCACTTATAAATGAATATATACCAGGTGTATCTTTTTGCTTCTGGGATACCTCACTCAGGATGATCTTCTCCAGTTCCCACCATTTGCCTGCAAATTTCATGATTTCCTTGTTTTTAATTCCCGAGTTCCACTGAACTTTTTATTTGACCTATTGTATTATTCATTTTCATCATCTTATCTTTTTGGATTTTCTTCAATATACCTATCATATTAGTTAATTATATCATATAATAAATTGACTATTTTATTTCATTCAGCCTTTTGCAATGTTGTCTCTAAAATATTCATGATTTTGTTGTTTACAATATTTATTAAGTTTTGTTGAAAGTATGTTTTTTTCATACTGATTATCACCTTTCCTCTCTCTAGTCTTCCCAGTTACTTCTCTCCTCCTCTCCCACTCAGATCCAGCCTCATTCTCATTCCCATTATGAAACAAACAGACTTCTAAAGGATAATACTAAGATGAAATATAACAAGATAAACCAAAAACTAACACATTCAGATGGGACAAAATAAACAAAAGGCAAAGAGCCCAAGAAAGAGTATAAGCAACAGATATAGACGCAGAGACCCACTCATTTTCACACTCAGAGATCACAGTAAACTAGAAGCCATAATCTATATCACCAAAATACATAAAATAAAAAATACTATGTAAAGAAAACACACACACAAACGAACCAACAAACAAAAAAACCTGACACAACATTCTGAGACAAGGATCTTACAAAGATGTTAACCGAGCTCATCATCTGTTACCACTTACTGCTGGGCACGGAGATTTCCCTTAAGAATAGTTTGTTTCCCCGGTGAGACTCCCCTGGAAAATGCTAAATTTTCATTGCAGGCGGTTATTAATTGGAGATAGCTTCTGCGTTAAGGATGGGAGTATGTGTCTACTTCTCCTTTTAGCTGTAGGAACCCATCCGGTGCAGACCTTTGAAGGTCCTGTGCATGCTGCCTCAGTCTCTTGGAGTTCATATGTGCATTGACCCTGCTCATTTAGAGGGCCACGTTTCCTTGGTATTCTTCATCTCCTCTGACTCTTACACTCTTTCCACTTTCTCTATCACAGAGTACCCTAAGCCCTGATTGGGAGTAGGGGAAGATTTGATGGAGACATTCCATTTATGGCCGAGTGTGCCAAGGTCTCTTACTCTCTGCCTATTGTCTGGCTGTGAATCTCTGTATTGGTTCCTATCTATTTCAGGAGCAATAGTCTGTGATCATGGCTGACAAGGCACTGAGCTCTGAGTATAGCAGAAGTTTTGATAATATTTACAACCCTTCTTTTGAATTCTTTGTTCTCATTTCATCTAAGATGTTTTGTTAGGGGCATTATTATATGACTGATAATTTTTTGAGGAAAAAAAAATGTCTTGGTACTTTTCGTTGACTTTGAATTGGGATCTGCCTATCTAGGGTACGATTGTTGCTTCAGTTTTATTGTTGTTGTTATTTTAATTTGGGTTGTCTCTCTTCTTTCAGTGAAAATGTTTGCAGTGTTGAAGAGAGACTAGGTTGTGGGACAGTTGCACTGGTGTTTTCCTCTGTTACCACGATGTTCCAGGCAGCAGGCTCTTCCTGAGGTGTGCTTCTGTGAGCTGAGTATTGTCTTCAGTGAAAGTCACTATCCAGCTGTTAACCCACTCTGATAAACAAAGGGACAGGTGGTGACAGGAGAACCAGTTGTTAAGGACTGTTTTAGTGAGTAAAAGGATCTTGGTAGCACACAAATAGTTGACAATCTTGGCAGTGTCAGATATTGTTGGTATGAGGAGAAAGGGAAAGAAAAAGAAATAAGCAATCATGGTAAAAATTATGATTAGAATTAATTAGTTTGTTAGATGGAAAGTATAAGCCATAAGACACATGTAGGAGTGGGTATAATAGAGGCCAAGGTTAACATCCTGGTTAACAGTAGACTAAAAAGAAGGGTTAAGATCTATAGCCAGGTATCATAAACAAGGTTCGCGTCTTGTCTTTGAAACATGAAGAGGAAAGAATGTGGAACAAGAAGAAGGAAAGAATTAAAGCAGAAATCGAGAGACAGTACAGATCAAAGAAAGGTGTGAACTGTAGGGAACAGTGCTAGCTCGCTTCACTGAAGCTGTAGAGAGGATAAAGAACAGAGTGAATATATAAGAAAATGAAATAACTGCCT